AGGGAAACAAAAGGTGTCTGCGAAACAAAAGACTGATTAAGGCTAGGTGCTACTCTCTGGAGCCAGGCCAGGTGCAGCTCAGCAGGAATGCCACCACAGATGCCCCTTTTATTTAAAAAAAAATCAACTATCTTGTAGGTTATGCAGCCTTACAGCAAATATAGCCTTTTTCCCCATCTATTTGTCTTACAATCTGACGCAAGTATACCAAAAACATTTTAAAGCCAATAAAGTTACTATTGCTAAAACAAGGACAACAACCTGCTAGGATAAGAAATCTGTTAAAGTGATTCGTAGGGCTGAATGAGGCTATAGTATCTGCTAGATTTTCCATAATATCCATTCCTGTCATATCAGGTAACTTTTTGGTAAAAGTTTCTTTGATTTCTTTCTGTTCAAAAACGATTTGAGAAGAATTAGGGTGACCCAGCAAATGCATTCTAACCTTTTTCCAATCATACTTGATTTCATTAAATCTTAAGGGTGTGATACAATAACAAGAAACATTCCGATCACATTTTAATTTTATCTGCTCCTTCAAAATCTCTAACTGATCACCTAACAATACAACAACTTGCCTTAGTTTGGCTAGTTCATTTACTATTTCACTATCAATTTTATTTGTTCAGTCCAAAGTTCTTCTGAATGTCTATACTGGTCTCTAATGAATTTATCGGTTTGGATTTCTTTACGAAGTGCCACTCCAGCTGTTGCTGCCGTAGCTGTCAATGCAATGATTCCCATAATAACTGTAACCACCGGTCCAGCCATACAACGTGTTCTTTTTAATATTCTTTCAGCGAGCTTCTGTACCAGGATCACCACAGGAGAGTCTTGCCATGGCCTCGACAACTTCACTGGTATCCAGATTACTGGCCTTGCTGTAAGAATATATAAACTTTCAAAGGTTAAATTTAAAAAATAATAGAATTAACACAGGTATGAAGGGTACACTGTTCACAAGTGTTGCTGTAATTATTTGGGTGCCATTGTACCGACCCCTTTAATAGCAAGTAAGGTAATGGTTCACATGCCATAATAGGATGGCTTTGATTTTGTCTAAAAGACAGAGTATACTTATCATCTTTAATGTTTAATTTTCCTTTCCATGCCTTAAGAGGGTGGAAGGCACTTGCCAGTTTCCACAAGTTAGTCTGAATTGAATTGTCAAATTGTAGGAGAGGACTTGCCATTCCAACTCAATGCCACTGAGTAGGTTCATTAATAGAAGCACTGATTTCCATAGTTCTATTTATATTATACCATTTTCATCTTAACTCTGAGTGAGAATATTTTCCAGAGGGGAGCCATAAGGGCTCTAATCAATGTCATCTCCATTGGAGATATTAATTAGCACTTGGGTTTCTCACTCTTATACTGTTACCAATGTACCCAGTCAGATTCCTTGTTGGTAACCCTCATCTCACAGAACGGTAGATTTATAGAACGAATAGCATTAATCTCTTGTCCTTTAAAACCAGATGCATGAAGCATATAAAACCTATTATGATAATCTTGGGTTGTATTGACTATACTTGAGAGGTAATTTTTAGGCATTGAATTCCATTTCCCAATCAAATAGGAATTCCTTGTACTCCAACAGTGTAACTGTCAATCACTTTACCCTCCTCCATGGGCTGAGCAGGACCTCTGCTGTCATAAGGATTAGGTAGCCAAGAAGATTCATTAACTACTGTAGGAATATTTCTATCTCCCCAACTGACTACTATGTTAATTGGAGGATTGGGAATATAAACCCAATAATTATGATCCATCCCTTTTACCTGCACCATTACCAGGGAAAGCATGGCAAGAAAAAAGTTTGTAGCATTCAGAGGCTTGTGAGTCATGCGAAGTATCATCTCTCCTTTGTCACACAAACTCTTAAGCTGTCCCCAGGTTGGAAGGATTAGTTGTTGCAAAGGTCTCCTGTGGAAACATAAGCATAACCTCAGCCCTAACTTAACACTTTCCCTGGGCTATTTAGATGCTAAAATATTTATAATGCATGGCTGACTCAATTCAGCAACTTTTTCCATAACAATTTTGTTTCTGTTTCATTAGCGTTTAAAAATTTTTTAAATTGGTAGGGCATTATTCGGTCTATCTCTAGGGGGTCCTCATATCCCCCTTCTGTTTAACAAGCATCTCTTTATAAGGTCTAATCTATCCATATAAGCATTTTGCAATTTACGTTCTACCAAAGCTAATTGTTTTTCAGCCTCAGCTGTAAACTGTCTTGGGCTGTTTAAATCTGAGTCACCTTGCAAAATTTGAAACAAATTAGTTAATTTTTGAGTAGACAATTCAGTTGTAGGCCGCAACCAGTTAATACCATCCAATAATTTTTGAAAATCATTAAGAGCATATAGTCGATTTCTCTTAATCCATATCTTTTGCAGCTGAATTTTCAGTTTACTTAATTTATAGCCTAAATAGCTAAGAGAATCTCCCCCTTTGTATTTTTTTTTTTTAGGAGAAATTTGTAATCCGCAACAGGGTAAATTTTTTTTGTACTACATTAAACATTTTTTCTAAGGTATATTTATCAGAAACAGCCCATAAAATATCATCCACATAATGATAAATAATAGACTGAAGAAATTGTTTGTGTATCATTTTTAGTGGCTGATTTACAAAATATTGACATAAAGTTGGGCTACTGGCAGTGGCCCCTACTCTAAATTTGGATAGCCAATTTCTATTCTACCTTGTCTTTGTACAACCTGTATAGTCTGTAACCTATCCTTTTAATTTTCCAATGCTCTTTTCTATTAAACATTAATTTAAACACCCCAATTTAATCATCAATTTACAAGCTGTTTCTGAAATTGTAGGAATATTAATTTGAGCTCATCATTGTTGTAACAAATCCCTGTCCCATAAATTTATGACTGTATCAGCCATATATATTTAATCTACTCTATACTCTGTTTTACTTGAGATAAGGTTCAAATTCCTACAAATTGAGTGGAGACTTCTTGTAGAGGCCAGTTGGGATCTCAGGATTCTTGTGAAATCAAACATATATCCAGCATCAGAATCCAATAATACTTTAATCTCAATCCCATTTAATTTTATTTTTAATTTAGGCTGTTTATCATTGATAAGTTTGTCAAAACACCTTTTTTTCCTGTACTTTCAAAGCCTCCAGTTCTACATATAGGCACTATTTTGCCTTTTAAAAAAGGAAGCAATAATAACTGAGTAATTTTACTACCAGTTTCTATTTCCATGGTCCTTTTTACGTATGTCATCTATAAACGCATTAAATACAATCTCTATAGGATTTTAAGAGGTAACGTAACTTTAGGTAATACTCTGGATTATATTTATAAAAATCTTTTTAAAAAGGATCCTTTTTTATAGATCCCAAGTAAAACATTAATGTAAATCGCAATTATTAACAATGTGGATCAAACAATTTATCTGTTTTTTTTTTACTGGAAAAATAATTTTGTAACCTCTATATCAGTAAGAGATTATTTTTTATGGGTTTTTATCTTAGCAACAACATTATTTAATAAGCTGACCACCCAATCCACTTCAGGTGTTATATTTCTATAGAATTAAACTAAGAATTTCTAGAAAGCAACTTAAAGGGCAGAGCCAAATTTTCAGTAATGATCAACAGACAACAGTATACCCAATATATAGTTCAAAATTATGAACCCTATTTCTTTAGTTTATCTACCATGAAAATCAAACATTCATCCAAACATTATTAGACAATCAAAAAGAGAACATCCTTTATACATTGAATGATTAATATCTCTAGAAATTTAAACAGCATTGCCTCAGCATTCCATGTCTTGACTGTAACCCTTCTTTACCAGAAGTTGGGTGTAGCAAGAATCTTAAAGGTACTTATTAATAAAATCACACCTGAGGCCAGTTATTGGGGTGAATGCTGGAAGATCAGAGAAGCAGAACAAGCCACAGCTACCTCACCTCGCCAGTTCCTCAGTTGATCCTGTTTCCTCAGAATGGAAGCCTCTGAGTTCTTATCCAAATGAATCTCAGCTGAACTGTTGTTCAAAAGCCTAAAAGCTTACCAGCCAAAAGCTTCTAGTTTCTGGTCTTCAAGCCTTATATACCTTTCTACTTTCTGCCATCACTCCCTGGGATTAAGGGCTCACTTCCTGGGATTAAAGGCTCTTGTTACCATGCCTGGCTGTTTCCATTATGGCTTTGAACTCACAGAGATCCAGATGGATCTCTGCCTTCATAATGCTAGGATTAAAGGTGTGAGTGCCACCATTTTCTGGCCTCTGTATCTAGTGGATGTTCTGTTCTCTGACCCCAGATAAGTTTATTAGGGTGCACAATATTTTGGGGAACACAATATCACCACAGTTGGGCCTTTTAAAACTTCCTCTTTCTCCCATGAAGGGACTACTAATGAGTTATTTCCACCATAAGGGAAAAACAGAAAACATTTCTCACGATGGGATCTTTAATATTGAGTTATTCCTGCTCTGAGGAAAAAATAAAAAACATTTAAGCCAAAATTAAGCAAACAGACAACAGAATTTTAAGCTCTGGGCGGCTGTCAGCTAGCAACAGTGAGCCCACCTGTTGGTTCTTTATAATTCAGATACTGACACTCTGTGCTTGCAGGCAGAAAGAGTTTTAGCTATCTTGAAATTTTTATATTGGAAAGAGCCTTTTCTTCCTCTATTACTAATGGGAAGAGGCTTTCTTATTTTTCTTTTTTCTTTTATGGGGCCTTATAATCTTTAGGTCTAGTTTTAATATTTTTCTCCTTTTTACCGGGAAAATCCTTTTTTTCTTGATAAAAATTTCTTCCTTTTCTATCAGGAAATTTCCTTTCCGTCCCTCTTCTCTATTGGGAAAGGTCTTTTTCCTTGATTTATTTCCTGTATCAGGAGCCATTGTATTTCTATCTTTAAAAATTGTGTAGTTACCGCTTTTTATTTTGACAAGGATTTAGCAACTGTACATTTTGTTGCTCCTGAGATGGGGAGTTTAAATTCCCCATGGCCCTGCTGATCCTGGAGTCCTCTTACCCTGAGAGCGCTCCCTCCAGTTCTAAAGATGACCTGCTCCTCTGTCCTTCTTCAGTAGATCCTTTTCCTTCTTCAAGCCACATGTTGGGTGCCAAACGTAACTGTGTGGTCACGACACGACACGGGTATGTGGGATCACGGATCCGTGGAATGAAGATTCAGAGGCATCTTAAGAATGAATCGAGAGTTCCTGCGAGTTCCTTCCTGCTGTGAGCATTGGGCCTCTGGCCTCTGACTCCTGGCCTCTTCCATTGTGCCATGGCCCCGAAAACAGCAATCTGCGCTCCTGCCTCAGTCCAAGAAACCCAAATCGGCTCCTGCCTGGAAGCTGGAGGACAAGTCGGCCTCTCCCGGCCTGTGGAAGGGAGAAAAAGAACAGCAAGAAGCAATTGAACACATTGACGAAGTACAAATGAAATAGACAGACTTTGTGAACAAGTCAGTGAGGAAATTTTGAAAGTAGAACAAAAATATAACAAACTCTGCCAACCATTTTTTCAGAAGAGGTCAGAATTGATCGCCCAAATCCCAAATTTTTGGGTAACCACATTTGTTAACCATCCACAAGTGTCTGCACTGCTTGGGGAGGAAGATGAAGAGGCTCTGCATTACTTGGCCAGAGTTGAAGTGATAGAATTTGAAGACATTAAATCCGGTTACAGAATAGATTCTTATTTCGATGGAAATCCTTACTTTGAAAATAAAGTTCTCTCCAAAGAATTTCATCTGAATGAGAGTGGCGACCCATCTTCAAAGTCCACTGAAATCAAATGGAAATCTGGAAAGGATTTGACAAAACCCTCAAGTCAAACAAAGAATAAAGCCAGCAGGAAGAGGCAGCATGAAGAGCCAGAGAGCTTCTTCACCTGGTTCACTGACCATTCTGATGCAGGTACAGATGAGTTAGGAGAGGTCATCAAAGACGATATTTGGTCAAACCCCTTGCAGTCCTATTTGGTTCCTGATATAGATGACGAAGAAGGAGAGGCAGAGGATGATGAAGAAGAAGAAGAAGAAGAAGAAGAAGAAGAAGAAGAAGAAGAAGAAGAAGAAGAAGAAGAAGAAGAAGAAGAAGAAGAAGAAGAAGAAGAAGGCTTGGAAGATATTGATGAGGAAGGGGATGAAGATGAAGGTGAAGAAGATGAAGATAATGAAGGGGAGGAAGGAGAGGAAGATGAAGGTGAGGATGACTAGCACAGAAGACTGATGGATTCCAACCCTCTTTTTTATTTTCTTTTTATATTTTAATTTTCTCCAGTCCCTGGTGTAAGGATTATGTCCTTAATTACGCCACTAGCCTGCGACGGCGTCCCAGCTCTCTTCTTTTCCGCATTCTCTCCTTCCATACTCTCCCCCCTCCGTGCAGTCTCTCTCTCTCTCTCTCTCTCTCTCTCTCTCTCTCTCTCTCTCTCTCTCTCTCTCTCACCCTCTCTCTCCCAATAAAGCTCTAGAAAGGTAACCATGGCTCATGACTCTTCTTGTCACCAATACACCCAGCACTCTCCTCCAGCACTCTCCTCGGTCAGCATGGCGGCCGTGGCGCCAGCCAGCTGCTTAATCAACACCTGGGAGCAAGTTGCAGTCATTTCCCTCCCCCTTCCAAACCCTCCTGTGCTCAGTAGCCCTGGTTTTGAGGTCTCTTCTCAACACCATAGTTCTCAACCTATTTGGGGGGAAATATCTTGAACAAAATACAACAGGAAAAGAATCTCCACTATTCTGTTCTAATTTCATTTTTTATCCTTTGTTGTCTCAAACTGTGGACTCAACACCACTACTGTGCTCTGTGGGAAAAAAGAAAAACCCTTCAGCCCCCTTGGCTCTGCTGGAGGCTGGGGGGTGCTAGGCCCCTGTGTAGTAGTACATAGACTTCTAGCTTTTTTCCTTTCTCTGTATATTGGGCTCAGAGATTACACTGTGTCTCTATGTGAATATAGACAGTTAGCATTTACCAACGTGTATCTATATACTTTCTCTTGTTTAATAAAAAGAAAAAAAAGAGAGGTATAGAAGGTCAGCAAGGGTGGGTTGAGGTGTCTGGTGAGAGGGTAAGTGGGCATCGTGACAACATGGCTTCTCCTTTGGCATGTTTGATTGTGATGTTTAACGGACATCCTTGCAGTTTAAGATGACACTTTTAAATAAAATTCTCTCCTAACGATGACTTGAGCCCTGCCACTCAATGGGAGAATCAGCAGAACCTGTAGGGTTTTATTTGGAGTTGACATTCTCTGTTGTCACTTTATTTTTAATTTTTAAACTTTTATTTTTTTGGTTTTCACTGGAAGGAAAAATGCTCATTTTTAATGTTGAAGTGTACAAGTTGCTTTGTTACAATAAAACCAATGTGTACACAAAAAAATAAATAAATAAAAATAAAAAGAGTGAATCTAGCCTTTAATGACTGCAGGAGGGTTCAGCCTTGAAGGACTGAAGCACTATCCCTTAGCCTAGGGCAGTTTTATTTCTCTCCAATACAGTTTAGCCAGTTAATTCCCTATGCTCAAAACAACCTGAAAGGGGCTCCCAACAATACAATGCCAAGTGCAAATTCCTTGGTTTGTCAGGTACCTCGATTTTCCAGGTTTCCTAAATCAAGTTTTGCATAGGCCATTGTATCCTTGGGAAACTCCAAGACAAGATTCACATGGAGGGCAACAAAGGAAACCAAAGGTGTCTGCTACACAAAAGACTGATTAGGGCTAGGTGCTACTCTCTGGAGCCAGGCCAGGTGCAGCTCAGCAGGAATGCCACCATGCCATATAATTTGCTTTTCTTTTTTTTTTTTTTTTTTAAAGATTTATTTATTTATTATGTATACAGTGTTCTGTTTGTATGTATGTCTGCACACCAGAAGAGGGCACCAGATTTCATTATAGATGGTTGTGAGCCACCACGTGGTTGCTGGGAGTTGAACTCGGGACCTCTGGAAGAGCAGCAGTCAGTGCTCTTAACCTCTGCGCCACCTCTCCAGCCCTTGCTTTTCTTAAAATTTGACAATAACATAATTTTGGTATGCACGAATATTGGGAAGACAATACTATCATTTATTTATTTTTAGATTGCAGGAATTAAACAATGGTATTTTTTAAATTTTGAGGCAGTATCCATGTGCTCCCATGAGCTCAGGTCAGCTGTCTCTGTGGGTTCCCAGGTCATGATTGCACAATTAGGGTGAAATTGAAATATTTTTAAGTTTTAAGAGAATTGTGTATATTATTCATTACATTCCTAAAATTAGCCAAAGGACTGGTTGCAATGATACATCAGCTTTTTCCCTGGTGAGTTTTGTTTTGTTGGAAATAGATGAGTGACCTAATGTACCTGCTCACTGTCTCCCAGATGGTGCCAGGACACTGACATGCATCTCATGAGAGTTCTAAACCATGGATGTGAAAAGCTAGCACCCTTCTTACACTGGCAGCATTCATTAATTTTAATAGGGTAGAGACTCATTTACATTACTTAAAACTCTAGTAATATTCAATTGATGGGCTTTTAATGTTCTGTTTAGTCAAAGCTGGAAAGATGTAAGACAGAAATTAAATGGTGAACTCTACATTTATATATCATGTGATAATGCTTTCTTTGTCACTGTTCTGTTTGTCAGAAAAGATTTTGGCTTTTCAGCAACTGGCCTTAGAAATAATAAGACAAATATCAATTTTTACTTTGGGATAACAAAATTAATATTCCTTTCAAATAAAAATATTTTAAAGATAATACACTTACTTTAAATGATTAATTAGTATTTTTGTCAAATGTCTTTGTTTTCAGTACAGTATAGATGTTTGTATACCTGATCATGTGCCTGTTGGATTAGTGTGTGAATGTGTGTGCAAGTATATACATAGTGTGTAGAGACCAGAAGCTGATGTCAGATAACCTGTTTTATCACGTTCCATTTTATACAGAGTGGTAGGGTCTCTCACTGAACTCAGAGTGGACCAATTCTGACAGTCTAGCTAACCAGCTTGCTCCAGCAATTCCATGTTTCATTTTCTTTAGTGCTGGATTACAAGCTGGTCACTTGTGTGTGCTAGGGATCTGAACTGTGCCCCTCAAACCTGCAGGACAGCTTCCCGCAGAGCCATTTGAGCAGCCACTATTTTGTCATGTTTCTATGTGCATTGAATTAAATGTATCTGGAAATGTAAAGCCCACTTGCTGAAATGCTTGCTTAGCAAGCACCAAGTCCTGGGTTAGAATTGAAATACCTCACAAGCCTAGCTTGTTGTACATGACTGTAATCGCAACACTTGGGAGATGGTAGGAGGAGGATAAGAAGTTCAAGGTCATCATTAATACAAAGCAAGTTTAAGACCAGTTTGGGATGCATGAATCATTGCTTTCAAAGCAGAAAACCAAGAATCTTGCACATTAAATTGATTATAATATAAAGTAATGGTGCAAGATATATGTTTTTCCCACATTCCTGGCAATAATTATAGCAAAGGCAGTCGTGAATTTTAGAAAGTGTATGGGGAAATATATAGGGGAGTTGTAAGGCAGAAAGAGAGGGCTGGAAATAATGCAATACAGTGTTCACTATAAAAATCTCAAACAATTTAAATTTAAAAATAAATAAGTATTAAGAAGTCTTAATTCTTGATACTCAGTATGTTGAGACACATATCCTCTATAGGGCTCTGTATCCTATAACAGACAAACTCACCTGTGCTTCATCGGTTCTGTATTTACAAAAACAAGTACCTTTATTCATTGAGACAGAGCCACTCAACAAATCTAGAGCTCACCATTTCTTCTAGACTGACTGGCTAGTGATCTACATGCTTCTACTCAAACACCAGTCCCAGAGTCAAAAGCACATCCTGACATATCTGACTTGAAACATGGATGATGTGGATCAAACTCAGGTCCTCATGCTTGCACAATGAGCCCTTTACCAATTGCCAAATCAGTCTAGTCCTGCTCACTGGTTTATAAACTGCCAAATGGCTTTCAAAGACACTGATTGGAAGTTGCTGTAAAATGCTTGCCTGATAATTTCAACACCTGTTTGATACTGGATTTGGCATCTACTGATTTCCTTTCCATCTTTTTTGATATCATTTTATGCTGATTTTGGATTTCATCACTATTTCATGTAATTTCTGAATTCTGTGACATTATTATAAACAATATTAATGTTTTTGAATTAGCATATAATTCAATGCACTGGACTTAAATGTAGACCTTCCTACCTAGCTTAGGATTCACTTCAATTCTATAATGCTTACCAGCAAGTTGTTTCAGTTTTATTTGCAATCATAAGAATAGAATAAGATTGCTCAAAACTGTAAAACAATTTTTGCAAGACTTGATAGGTTGGCTGAATGGCAACAACATTCTAGTCAAAGGGAAAGTTGCAAGAGATGTTCATTCTTATTCCTAGAATTAAATGTTTTCTGATATTTTAAAGTGTTTGTACTACAGATACATATTATCTTTTTTTTTCGAGAAAGGGGATACATATTATCTTGAGCATCTAAAAATTCATTTTATTTGGGAAATAATTTTATTAAACTTAAATTTTCTTTGTGTGTGCATAAGTGAGTGTGCATTTGTGCAGGTGAGATGACTACTTGTGGAAGTCAGTTCACTCCTACCACCATGTGGCAATGGGGATCAAACTCTTATCAGGCTTGACGACAAGCACTCATACCTGCGGAACCATAGTGCTCTATTCTCTCTAAGACAAAACTGCCTTTGTTGCTCTTTGTCCCTTATCAGAAGCAAGAGAAACAGAGAAGTGGTTCCTCTTATTGTTGTGTTCCTGGGCTTTCCTTTACACCCTTTCCCTCCGCTGCAGTTTCTCTCAAAGGAATTAGAGCTCACACTTTAGGTTCACCTGGGACAAAGCAGCCAGCATTTGGGAAACTCCCAAATTTTGCATTAGATAAATATCAAAATAATGATACAATATTTCAAGAAAATTCAATTAAATTTATAGTAAATTTAGTAAGCCTAAGTATTAGATTTGACAAGACAACAAAGTAATAAGAAAGTGTCATCAGTTTAATTGCATTTATAAACATAAAACCTTTTATTATGTACAAAATGTATCAGATACAGTAAAACTTATGCAGGCAACTAAATTAATTAGATAACTTTACATTTAAAAATGCAAACTTTCTAGTCATGTAAATAGTTTTAATAGTTTGATCCTCTGGCATCATCATCATCATCTTTATTATTATTATCATCCCCATTATCACTAATACAGTTCTAGTATTATTTTTTTCAT